AAGAGAAGGACTGAGAGCTGGTGGCCAGGAGCAGACTTGCAGAATGTGCCCTTTGGAAATGTAAATTATTATATATGCCTGAGTGGTTTTTTTTCTTGTTTTTGTTTGTTTGTTTTTTTTAAAAAAAAAACTAAAGTGGATAGAGAGAAATACTGTTAACTAGTGGTACATGGAGGGGATGATAATCACTGTAATGAAACAAGGTATATGATTTGTTTAATGTAAAACTGATGATATGCCCTGTAAACTTTCACTCAATTCATAATAAAAACCTTAAACTAAAAAAACAAAAACAAAAACAAAAAACCTATACTCAAGAAAAAGTTTAAAAATAAATAAAATATTTTAAAGAATCAATGGTATTGAAAGAAGAAGTCCAAACTGTCCAGAGGCAGTGGCCAAAAATAAGGCTCTAGAAATTGACAGAATACCAAATCAGATGTTTCAATAAAGGACTGAAATGCTTAAAGCATTTACTTGTCTATGCCAAGAAATCTGGAAGACAGCTTCCTGGCCAACAGACCAGAAGAGATCCATATTAGTGGCCATTACAAAGAAAGTGATCTAACAAGATATAGAAATTATCAAAAAATACCATTAATATCACCTGTAAGTAATAGTTTGTTTCAGATAATTTAGAAATGGTTGTAGCAGTTCATTGACAGAGAACTGCCAGAAATTCAAGCTAGATTCAGAAGAAGTGGAACAAAAGATAATGAGATGAATCTTGGCTAAAACAGAGAACACCAGAAAGATGTTTATTTGTGTCTTAAGGCTAGTCAGAGGCAATTATTATTGAAAACATTGTGAAGAGTGGGAATTCCAGAACACTTTATGTGATCATGAGGTACAGAGACCAAGAGGCAGTTATTTGAACAGAACATGATTCAAAATCAGCAGTTACGTGTTAAGATTGCATCCTTTCGTCACACTTATTCAATCTGTATGCTGGCAAATAATCCTACAAATTGGACTGGAAGAAGAATACAGTATTACTCAAGACAGAAGGAAAACTCATTAACTGTAATACGTATATGACATAACCTGGCTTGCTGAAAGCCAGGAGGGCATGAAGTACTTGCTGATTAAGATCAAAGAGTATAGCCTGCAATATGGATTACACCTCAACATAAAGAAATGAAAAATTCTCACAACCGGACCAATAAGCAACATCATGGTAAACAGAGAAAAGATTGAAGTTGTCAAGGATTTAATTTTAGATCCAGTCAATGCCCATGGAAGCAGCAGTTAGGAAATCAAACAACGTATTGCATTGGGCAAACTGCTGCAAATAACCTCTTGTAAGTGTTCAAGAGCAAAGATGTCACTTTAAGGACTAAGGTGTGCCTGACCCAAGCCATGGTATTTTCAATTGCTTCATATGTCTGAGAAAGCTGGACAGTGAATAAGGAAGACTGAAGGAGAAGTATTACCTTTAAATTATGATACTGGCAAAGAATATTGAATGTACTATGGACTGTCAGAAGAACAATGTGTCACAGAAGAAATACAGCCAGAATGCTCCTTAGAAGTGAGAATGATGAGACTTAATCCCAAGGCCTTTGGCCATGTTATCAGGAAGGACCAGTTCCTGGAAATGACATCAAATTTTGTAAAGTATGGGGTCAGTGACAAAGAAGAGGGCTCTCAATGAGATGGACTGATAAAATGGTTGCAACAATGGGCTGAAACAGTAACAATTATGAGGATGGCACAGGGCTGGGGAGTGTTTCATTAATTGTGCACAGGGTCCCTCAGAGTCAGAATCAACTTGATGGCACCCAACAACAAGAGGAAAACCTATAGGACAGTTCTACTCTGTCATATTGTGTTGCTATAAGTTGGAATCAAATCAACAGCACACACAACAAATCTATTTATATA